ACAGAAGCACTCACACATGGGTATTGCAGCAGAAATTAACTTCAGCTGAAGAAACAAAATAGTTGAGTAGAGGAAAGACAATTCTCACTGCGCCAATCAGAGAGGAAGGATGCATTGCCTTCCTGAATTTGGAGGAAGAGAATAAGAACTAATTCTCTCCTTATCACCGCCTCAGCCCCATTCTGCCTCATTTTCCTCTGGATGGTTAAAGGTCCAAGTGATGGGCAGTTTAATACTCAGAGCTACCACGGAGTCTTCTCTTCTCAAACGTGGAAGTGGCTTAGCAAATACCTAGCTTCTCTAAGGGCAGCTGATAGTGTATATTTGAGTGAAGGATTTTTTTTTTTTTTTTTGGTAAAGAGTCCTCAGTTTAATGGGTAATTTCCCCTGAAAATGGTAAACTGCAAATTAAATGGCAAAAAGGAATTAATTATTGAAATGATAATATCCTTGTAAAGGTTAAGAGGTAATATAAATGAAGTTCCTGCGAGCATATTAATGGAATTACTATCTTTCCCCTTTTAAGTGGCAACTGTAATGACCTTGCTAATTAGCTTTTTCATTGGGAAAAGGAGTATTGAAATATGTCGTTATATTGCAGAAGCAAAATCTATGACTGGGTTATTTTGCAGCAACATAGTGTAGAGAGAAGCTTTTTACATGCAGCTGAGAGCTCTTCCCAGAGCACGCAGCTTGTGGTGGAAACGGGAAACGATGCACTTGAGTGGCAGAGGAAGTAAAACGCGTAATTTGGAAGGGTAACGCGGGCCAAAGCAAAAGCCTAATGCAGGCATGGAGACCCAGCGACACCTCTCACAGCTTGCTGCAGCGCCCCTGGGAGCGCAAGGGGCGGCCAGAACAGGATTCAACCCAGGGTGGCCGAGGAGGCGCGATCGCTGCCCACGCACGGCGCGGGGCAGGCAGCCCGGGCTCTGCAGCCCGGGCGGGGGCTCAGGTACTCCCTGGGCAGTATTTTTAATATGTGGAGCTATACATATATATGTATAATACATAAATGCACGCCGTGTAGGTATATGAATGAGATACACGTACTGGATTTCATACTGACATGCCTTTTAGAGAGCTTTACAAAAATTAGGTTGGTCCTTCCCCCACTGAGAACATGTTCCAAATGTTGATAGACTGGGAAGTGGGTAGCGTTTGGGCTTCAGCTGACAAGAATTGGCATTACAGCTTTCTTGTGGATGAATCCGTGCAAGATTTCAGAGGTTCCAGCTTCACGGAATGCCTGGGATCTGTACAGACCTCGGGGTATGATGGGGAGGAAATGAGCTTCCACCTGTAAAACGAATTTGCCTTTGTCCTCAAGAAGAGGATTTTCAGCTTTCCTTTCTGAAAAAAAAAAGTGAGAAATCATTGGCCTCACCCTGGGGAATGTGATCAAACACGGTGACCTAGATGCAAGTGATTGCTGGAGCTGGGAGGGAGGCAGCTCAGCTCCAGCTCTGCTGCAAAAGCCTCGCGGGGAGGATCGCCGCGGTGCCTGCGCCCCGGTCGTGGAGAGGCCGGGCTCTCCGCCCCCGCTCTCCACGCACGACACCCGGCTCCACCTGCAGCCCCACCGCCCGCTCCGGGGAGGGGGGCAGGGACCAAGCCCGGGCCCCAGGGCCCGGGAGGTGCGAGGCCCCCCCGTGCCGGCCCGTCCCCCCCCCGCGCTCCCCGCCCCGGCCGCCCACCGAGTGGCACTGGCGAGCAGCGCAGAGCTCGGCTCCCGCCTCCGCCCAGCCGAGTTAAACCCAGCCCAGCCCAGCCCAGCCCAGCCGAGTTAAACCCAGCCGAGCCGAGTTAAGCCCAGCCGAGCCGAGCCGAGTTAAGCCCAGCCGAGCCGAGCCGAGTTAAGCCCAGCCGAGCTGAGTTAAGCCCAGCCCAGCCAAATTAAACCCGGCCGAGCCCAGCCCAGCCCAGCCAAGTTAAACCCAGCCCAGCCCAGCCGAGTTAAACCCAGCCGAGCCGAGCCGAGTTAAACCCAGCTGAGCCGAGCCGAGTTAAGCCCAGCCGAGCCGAGTTAAGCCCAGCCCAGCCAAATTAAACCCAGCCCAGCCGAGCCGAGCCTAGCCCAGCCGAGTTAAACCCAGCCCAGCCCAGCCCAGCGGCTGCCGTGGCCTCGGGACTACTGGCACGCTTCTGGCCTGGATTAGAAAATTTGACTCGCAGCTGGAGGAGCCGCTCCCCAGCTGAGGCCTGAAGGAGAGCACAGGCGTCTCCCCAGGGTTGCAGGTGTCTTTAAGCAATCTCATTTCGCCACAGAGGGCAAGAGAGCGCGGCGGCACGACCTGCTCTTTGTATGTTCCCCGCATCTTTCTTCAACACCATCCGGGGGACACACACAGGTGTTCCCCTGCTAAACAAGATGCCACGATTAAGTTCCTTGTGTTGGGTCTATATGCGTAGAAAGCAGGCTGCCAGGAGGTGAGCATTTCTTACCGGGGAATCGCTTGCTCATCATCCAGATGTTCCTTATTTTTCCAAGTCCGCTTGGGAACAGTGGGAATCGAGGATTGAAATCACACGCGTTCTTCCCGAGTTTGTGCGGGACCGAGCCAATTCCCTGCCGGAGGAGGACGGGCCCGGGTCCTGTCAGCCCGGAGCTCTGTCACCTTGGCAGTGGTTGCGGGGGCAGAGCAGGCGTTCCTCCCTTCAGCTGCAGAACCAACCTCCCGGGTCTCTGCCACAGCCACCGGCTTGTCAGCAACAGGACACAAAAGAGATAATCAGCAGCTTGATTCGCTGTAGCTGCTATTTTAGAGCCTTGCAAAACACAGACCACCTGGTGGCTTTTATATAATAGATGATAAGTAATAACTTTATAAAGACAAAACAGCATAAGGAGGGTTTATGGCAAATAATAAAGGATGCTTTCCTTTTTTGTTTTACATTGACACATCCCTTGTGTGTCCAGAGATTAAAAGACTGATGTTAGCAACAACAGTTGCTGGTCATACCCAGCAAGACAACTGTCCTTCAGAAACGTGTTAAATTCTGTTCATGTCAGTAATAGGATTTATAAAATTTACTATAATCAGAAACACTATAAGTACTATTTGTAATGTAGTATTGGGATGGAAGTGGAGAGAGGATCTTCTGTTTAGAGCTGAGTTTTTAGACCAGGATTCAGGTTTAGATGTGACAGCCCAATATCTCAGGAGTCTAGTTCCACCCACAGCAGAAAACCTGCAATGGGTTTGACTTGGAAGAGACACCATATGGATGTTTTAGAATCTAGCGACTTTAATTTTTTTCCTTACCTTTCTCTGAAAAATTTACTGGTGTTAGACCTGGGGTTCTCTTCTTCTGCCTGTTTAGTGGATGGCTTTTTTCCAGCTGCTGCAGATTAGACATAATTTCAGGCAAATGTTAATTATCAGACGACTTCCCTAACAGTACTTGTCTGTTTGGTTTTTAGTGACTGTATCTGAATAATTGGGTTGACTTTCTGTTGCTCCCAGTACATAGCCTCAAGTCTATTGTTGTGCCTACACCTTTCTTTTTCATTTAAAATCGAGTACAGACACGACCTGAAGATCCAGTTTTGTAAGATGCTCGGAACCATGTCTGCTCGATCACTCTCCTGCAGACCACACAAGAGAAAACCAGATGGTGGCCTGCAAGATGAAAACATCTTGTTTCTTTTTCTTGTCAAAGACTGAAGAATGAGATGGAAGTTTGCTAGCTGCTTCATTTTCCTCGGGGTTTGGGAACATATGTACTCCCCTATGGCATTTTATATGACAGTGGATTGTCTTACAGGATATGCTGTAATGAAAGAGTCTGTGGCCAAGCCTGTGATGTGTATATTAGCTGGGATTGATTTAGGTACAGTGACAGGATTTTCTCTCTTTTATTCTGCTGCGCTGATTAGCTCCATTGAGTCTGTAGGGCCCCAGCTGTAAGAGCAGCTTAGTCAATGGATTGGGGAGAAGAGAAATGGTAAAATCTATAAGCGTATTTTCCTCTCCCCCTGCTAGAGTAGTTTTCTGACAGCGTATTCGTGGGTGTTTGATCCAGTCTGACTTCCAGTGGTTCCAGCAGTGGGGAATCTGTGGCCCAGGTTCCCTCAACCTCCTCTGAAGCTTTCTCAAAAGCGGATTCTCTTAAATTTCAAACCACCAGAACCAATTTTATAACCAGCTGCTGTTTCAGTATAGACAAGACCCTGGGGACCAGGACTTTTGTTACCGCTCTGCTCTGAGGAGGTCTCTCTGCCTTTGTGGTTACAAGAGACATCGCAGGTCCTGAAACACCATGTAATAGCTCCCTTTTTCTTTCAGACAGGTTAGATACGGATTGAAATATTTTGGCTAAATTTCCCAGTAAAATACTTCTAAGCACAGTGTTCCTTGAAAGGGGCAGCAAATGTTGATACAGCTGAAGCATGTTGAGTTGTAAACATTAGGGAGAAAATGGAATAAGAATTTGGATGTTAACTTGTACACACAATGTGTTTAATTTGTTTCTAATCAAAACAAAACTCCTTCTCTGACAGAAGAGGGATTGGGAAATCAAGATTATTTCTCTACAAGTGACTAAGTCATGCAGCCAGCTTGTGGGGGCATTCAGAGACAGTTGGCAAGATAAGATGCTTCAGGAGAGATGCAGAATTCAGTGTACAGTTTCCATGGGGGAATGCAGAATGGCAGTAGCTCAGGGAGTGAATGTAAAGGCCATATAAGGGAAGTAAATGAACTGCTGTAGAGATGCCATTAGCAAAGCAAACACTGACTTGGGGACCTTGGCATATACCATGGAAGAGATAAATTGCATGAATAAATGCATACTTGTTAGCTTCTCCCCAGGTTTAGAAAGCCAGTTTTAACTGAGAACCCGTTTACATGTGTGAAACAGAAGTTTTTCCACAGTCATTTTAATGCTAAGCAATCTCCACCCATGTCTAATCCCAATGCATGCCTAATTTAGACACATTTATCACAGTTTCATTGTAACTCAGGCCCTTGGCTAAGGAAAGAATGTCAGACCGGGTCTTTAAACAACTGCGGATTTATTAACAGTACTCAGTTCTTCTCTTTCTTTACCCCTAGAGTATAGTTCAAATGTCACAATGTTAGCTTAGTAGCCCTGTCATTTCAGGTGTTGGCAAAATGAATAGCAGGAGGTAAAGCACCTGACTGAGCCAAGTGAAAGCATGAGAGTGGCAAATGAAGGGTGCCTACGCCCGTCGAGAGGTGCATAGCTCCCTGCAGCAGTGCAGCCCTGCGGCTGGGGCACCCTCGGGCACGGAGGCTTGGCACCAGACAAAAATCTGAACTGAGGGGAGGGTGCTGGAATGGTATGCTGGGGAGCAGGCTCCAGCTCTCAGCCCTGGGAAAGTCTCGCCAGCTCCCTTTCTGCCAGCCACCCCGTGGGCACGTCCACACTCATGTTTTGGCGTGGACCGTGGGCATGCTTTTGGAGCGCGGCTCCGGATCATCCTCACGTTCCGCACCTTGGGTTGCCCAGCGGCAGAGAGCACGCAAAGCGGGCGCCGACGGCACTGAGGCAGCAGACGGGCGCCAGGAGCGCATCCTCGCGGGGCCCTCAGTCCTGGACCCAGGCTGGAGGCAGCCTGAAGAAAAACCTATGGAAAAGCACGAACAGCATTCGGGTCCTCAGCACCAGCCGGTCGGAGCAGATCGATCCACATTACCCGCCAATACAGATGCACACTACGTGGATGGAGCCCAGAGGTAGTCAGGGCGGCATGGCTGTTTTGGGGGTATGCCTTCATTGTCTTCCTCGTGAAGCGTGGTATTGGCAAGCATTCTAGCACCATAGTTAACCTACTTCTTTGATTTGAAGCACTTTTCCTTAAAGAATATGCTTGAAATGTTAGAATGGAAAACTTGATCTTGCTAGATACTTTCCAATCCATTTTTTTATCCCTTGAGAAAATATGCGTTTTCCGTAGTGTTCTGATTTTAAGACCTTGCATTATGGGGAAAAAATGGAAAGTCTTATGTTCAAAATCCAATAAAGTGGCTTTGTAATCTAAGTCTGAACACGACTGTTGTTACTATTAAATGGTGTAAACACAGACTGAGTGCAATAAACCTCACTTCCATTTAGCATTAATAATATTAATGATCAGTACTTAAATCACATGCCATGTTTCAGGACTGTAAAAGCAACATTACCAAAGAGATTTTGCATGTCTGGTGCTGACATAATTTAATCGTGGCATAAAATTGTCTTCTGTCTGAAGGAATTTATGCAAGCTGCAGGGCGGAGAGGAAAAAGCCGAATTGGAAATCTCTCTTTCTCCCAGAGGCTCTGCGTGCACCATTCCTCCCGGCCCCCAGAAGGCAACCCCTCCCAGAAACTTTCCCACTTAAGCCACTCTGGGAAAGGACGGGAGCTCCTGTCTCTCCGCCTGACCTAACGCAGCCGGGATGAGCTGCTTGGTACTCTGGTCACATTTACTCTCGCTGTAGACCAGCTCCCGAACTCTTGCGATCAAAACGCTGGATCAGCAGCTCGCCTGCACACGCACACGCGCGCACACACGCACGCACACACACACACACACACGCTTTATCACACGCACGCCATCAGGAGATTAGCCCACATTTTTCCCATGTAAGGGCTGCAGCCTTCCCCTTTCCCTTCCAACACTCCTTCCCCGCCGGCTTTTTTTTCCCCTCCTCTCCTGCCCTTTCCTCCCCTCCGTCCACGGCTCCACGGCCCCACGCACCCCGCCGCGGACCGCGTTCCCCGCCGCCCCCGCCACCCGAGGTTCATCGCCCCAGCCCCGGGAGCCGGGTCCCACCCTCCGCTCCCACCCCTCGGAGCCGGGACCCCCGCCCCCAATTCCCCACCCCCCCGGCCCCGTCCGCGGCGGGTCCCGCCCGGGGAGGCGGCGGCGGGGGAAGGGGGAGGAGAGGCGGCGGAGCGCGTTGCCTCCCGAGGAATTAAACGGCGGGGGGGTGGGGGGGGAGAAAGAGAGAGGGAGGAACGTGCAGAGGAAGGGAGGGAGGGAAGGAAGGACGGCCCGGGCTGGGGAGGGTCCCGGTCCCGGTCCCTTCTGCGGCGGGACCGCGGGGAGAGTCGCGCCCCGGCTCCGCGCCCATGTGCTCCCGGTGGCCGCGGCGAGCAGCTCCCGCGCCCGGCGTCTCAGTAAGTAGCCCCTTCGCCCCCTCCCGGCCCCCTCCCGGCACTCCCGGACCCCTCGCTCCCCCCAGACCCCGGCCCTCCCGCGCTCCCTGCGCGGGTGCATCCCCCTGCCCCTCCCGGACCCCCGGCACCCCTCTCCTCTCCCGGACCCCCTGCCCTCCCGCGCTCCCGGTAACGCTGCATCCCCCTGCACGACTCCGGATCCCCGAGCCCTCGGAGCCTCTTTCTCCTCCCCGACTCCCACCAACCCTGCACGGCCGCATCCCCTGCACCCCCGGACCCCTTTCCCCTCCCGGATCCCCTTCCCCGCTCCGACACCCTGCCCGGCCGCATCCCTTGCCGGTTCCACCGGACTCCCCTCCCCTCCCGGTTCCCCAGCCCTCCCATCCCCTCGCCTTCCCGCATCCTACCCCTCCCGGGCCCCCGTCCTTCCCGGATCTCCCTGCCACCCCGCACCGCTCTCCCTTCCCGGCCCCCCCGGCTTCCCGGCTCTCCGTCCTCCCGGCCCCCCCCGGCGCCCCTGCCCCCCCGGCTCCGCTGCCTTCCGAGCCCTTCCCCGCCCGCATCCCCCGTTCTCTCCCGGACCCCCTACCCCTCCCAGCCTGCTCCCCCCCCCCCCCGCGGCCCCTGCCCCTCTCGGAGCCCCTGCACCACAGCCCCCCCCCCCGGTCCCCATCGCACCCCCCGGCCCCACGGGCGCGGCGCCCTCTCGCCCCGCGGCCCTTCCCCACGCATCACCCCGGCGAGTTTTGGTTCCCGGCCGCCGCCCTCCCTCGGGGGGAGCCGGGTGTCTCCGCCGCCCCCTCCTACCCCCGGAGGGGGGGGAGCGGGGTTTCGGGGCCCGGGGGGGCGAGTCGGCCGCCGTGGGCTGGCAGCCTCCATGCTGTCCCCTCCTCCTCCTCCCCCGGGTCAGGGAACGGTCGTCCCCGAGGGCCGTGACCCACTTTGCCTCCGTGCCAAGCCAAGACACGGGCGGATCCTTCTCCAGGAGGTGCCCCTGGAAGGATGGAGGCACCTTATGCCCCTCTCCCAAGTTTTTATCCCCTGAGGTTTGGTGTTTGCAGGTTGAAAGGCATTTCTGCGAGTAGATAGGTGCGTGCTTCTTGAGTAGCAGCACAGGCCTTTTTAACGTTATAAAAGAGACTTCTTCGTGTTTTAAAAGTAAACAAAACTTTTGCGTGGTGCACATGCTTGCTTTCACTTACAAATTCTTTCTCTACGTTCCCTCCTTGTGCTGAAGTAGTATTAATTTTATTGCCTGTACACGAATTGAATTCACTGATTGGTGTCCAATCATGCTTAGAAAGAAAAAGCCCCTGTAAATAGCTATTGGAATTAATTTGGCAGCAACCGGGAGAAGCGACCATAAATTTGCAAATGCAGTTGGAATAATGATCCAGCGTGGATTTAACGAGAAATACGCCCCCAACCTCTGGGAAGCAGCACGTAGGTTTCTGTGACAGTCAAACGCACTTGGTCACGCTGGTACTGAGCTTAGAGGCTGGGAGTTGTCCAAGAAGGATGCGGAGGGGATAAGGCTCCTGGGTTTGAGCTGGGAAAAGGCGGAGAAGAGAAGGAGCTGGGCTGAGTGCAAGCAGGGATATTGAGAGAGACCCCTCTGTTTTATTCATGTGCTGCTTGAGGTTGCGTGGAGGTGAATCCAAAAGGCGTGGCAGTGTCTTCACCTGCCAGGAGCCCGCCTGGATCTGGGGTTCCTGGCACTTCTGGACATCAAATGATAAAAGGCTCCTTTTGTACAGGGATGCCGACGACTTAAGGAAGTGCTGGAAAAAACCTTCACCTTGTAGCACTTCTCTCGGGGGGTGTGTGTGTGTGTGTTAATGAGGTTTACCTCTGCCACAAGGGTCTGGTCTTGAAGAGCCTCAGGGGCTGCGAGTGGTTTTGCACTGAAGCTGCGGGGGGGCCCTGCGTACTGTGAGGTACGTCCCCCAGGCACCGCAGGAGGAAGACCCAACTAAGCGAGACCTCACCCTTTTCTCCGCTGGTACGGGAAAGATGAAGACGTACCGTGGAGAAAAGTGCGTGGAGAAGCAGCCGGAGAGCCCCTGAAGGTGGCTGCCGAGCGGTGCTGGGGGCGCACAGCAGTGCGCGCCGGCCCGGCTGCCTCCCGCCGCCGGCCCCGGCAGCGCTGGCAGCGATTCTAGCGGCTGCTTGCAAAGCTGGGACAGCAGAGTGAGATGTCTTAATCAAAAGTCCTGCAAGAAGCAAAAATACTCGGTCGGATAAACAGTTTTTTCTAACATCAGTATTTACCGAACTTGTATTTGTCTTCTTTTTTTGCGTGTGTTGTTATTTAGTTAGGACCTTTGACTTCATGATGGGAGGAAACATCCCCTGGGCTGTCAGGATCCAAGCTTCTCCCAGTGCGAGGATTTGTCAAGGCTGAGAGACTCCAAATTATCCACAAACCTCGTCTGAAATACAGAGCTGCTTTTCCGTTTCCCCGCTGCGAGGGGTCCTGGAGCAGATACGAAGATGGCCTCCAGCCTCACCTGTGCCGGCATCATCTGGGCCTTCCTCTCCTTCCTCTGTGCCGCCGCCTCCTGCGTGGGCTTCTTCATGCCCTACTGGCTCTTGGGCTCTCAGCTGGAGAAGGCGGTTTCCTTCGGCACTTTCCGGAGGTGTTCCTACCCGGTGCGGGACGAGGCCCGCCAGACGACCGTGATGGTGGAGCAGTGCGGCCGCTACGCCTCCTTCCAGGCCATCCCGAGCGCCGAGTGGAGGATCTGCACGGTGGTGACGGGCCTGGGCTGCGGGCTGCTGCTCCTGGTGGCCCTGACGGCGCTCATGGGCTGCTGCGTGGCCGAGCTCATCTCCAGGACCGTGGGCAGGGTGGCAGGAGGCCTCCAGTTCCTGGGGGGTAAGTGCTCGCGCGCGGGGAGGGGACGGGGGTGTCCGAGGCCGTCGGTTTACGTGTGTGGAGACTCCCCCGGTGCTTCGGGGTGAGGAGGGGGCGAATTAAACTTTCTGCTAGCCAGGGAGACGGCTTGGCTTCCCCGACGGGCGAGCTGGCGGTCCGGGTGCCTGGATGTGGCCCAAAGGCGCAGCCGGCTGCGGCCGCTCTCTTGTGCTTAAGGCCCTGCCCGGCCGTTGTGCCGGCGTGGCAAGCCGGCTTCTGTGGGCCAGCACCTTCACAGTGGTTTTGTGGGCTGCAGTTTCCAGCAGAGCTCGGCCGGGACGGGGGTACCTGGAGAAGTGTGGGGGCCGCAGAGCCTCGCAGAGCACGGTTCTGCAGAGGGGGGGCCGTGTTACCCGCGAACGGCCTCTCTTTTCTCTCCTTCCCGCCCCCATCACCGGCACAGCTCCCTCCACCTCTGCTCTCTGTAGCTGCGTGGATCTGGCAACAAGTCCGTGGCCGGGGTTTGAAGCGGGGTTTGTTCATCCCTGGTGGAGGTGGCCCGCGGTCTGTCAGGAGGAGCCCTGCCAGGCTTCCTGACCCACGCTGCCGGCTGCTGGTGCCGCACGTTTGTTGAGTGGGCCAGACAGCGTGGGGGAGAATCACCTCCCCTCCTTTTTTTAGCTTGTAATTGTATGGCGTATTTGTAGCTGTGGAGTATTTGAAGGGTAGAAGACAATAAACAGCGACCTTTAAGCATGTTTTTTATAGGGCAGTTTTCCCAGTAAATCACCACGCTCCTGTCATCAGTGACACGCAGCTCAGTGGCACTCGCTTTTGCCTGGTGCCAACGCTCCACCCCGTGAGGGGATGGTTTCCCAGAGCTTTCGGTGCCAGGGCAGCGCAGGTGCCAGCGTTTTGGGTGCCCTGCAGTGTCCGGTCCTGACCAGGCGCCCTGGCTCATGCCCGGAGGGTTGGGCTGCAGCAGGACCCCCTCCTCTCTCCCTTCCAAACAGAAGCTGGGTGCGTCCCGAGTCTGCAGCCCTAAGGAAGCACAAGACAAAAAGTCTGCTCCTGTCTGGCTCGGGGCAGGCAGCCGAGGCGAGGAAAGGGCCCTGTGCCAAGCCTCCGGCCAGCAGATGCCAGCGTAGCTCCCTCCTGGCCGCGGGGAGTCCTGCCTCCAAATTTTCGAGTAGTTTCCACACTTAAGAGCGAGCCGCCCCTGTCACTTCACCCTTCCCGCCGCTTTGGGACTCACAGGCATTCCTGTGGCTGACAATTTGAAAGCGCAGCAGCTGCGGGAGAGTTAACTCTGCTGGGAGCTGCGGCTTCCTGAAGCCTGATCCATCACACAGTTGCAGCTGGGCAGCCGGGGGGGTGCAGGGGTTTTCGGTTCGGTGACACTCTGCAAGCCCACTTGGTCTGGCTATTTTCACTTAGAGCCTTCGCAGGCTCGTGCTTTAACCACCCATCTCTTTCCCACTGCTGGCTTTAATTTGGGTTTGGCCCCTTTCTCGTGGCTGTGCTGCCCTGCCTGCCCACGAGCGGGGCTGGCCGTGCCTGCACCTGCTTACAGCCCCCCAGCAAACACGGCAGCTCCAGCGGTGGGTGGGCGGCCGGGGGTCGTGGGAGGGAGGAGCCCTGCTCCCCCGTGCCACTGGTGTGGGCTGAAGGTGCGCACCCTTCTCTGAGGCGGGATGGTGGCTCCCGTGCGAGGAGACGAGACGTCCCCTCTGATCACACCACGGCCACCCCGGGGCTTGTCCCAGCTGAGCTGGCAAGCACCCCATCCCGCCCTGCCTGGAAGGGCTTGTCCTTGGTAGGTGACAATTCAGAGAAATGTGAACTTGTGATACGGGACGAAATTTGCCAACAACTTTGCTTACAGTTCAGAAATTAGTTACACAGCGTGTCTAATTTTCCCCTCTACTGGCTTTTATGGTTGTCTCTTATTTCACTCAGCACTGCTGGAAGTGTGTTAAGAAATGAACAAAGTGAGAACCCATCATTTCTTAACCTGCTTAAAGCCCAGCTGTGGGGACAAGAGTGAGAGGCCAGGAGGTGAAAGCCAATAATCTGAATGATCTGAAGGGACACACTAGGGTAAAGATCAGATCTTTACCTCCTTAAACAGATCCTTAGCTGCTATAAATCAGTATGGCTTCATTGTTTAAATGACATGACTACATTTGTTCAGATGTCTAACTTAGGCACTGTAATTATTAGGTTGTTTTTATGTCAGGATAGCCACGAGCTGTTCACTTTCTTTACTAACCGGGAATGCCAGCTCTTTGTTCCTTGTACTAGAGCTGTAGGTTTAGTTTTATACCACGATGTGTGCTTTGAATATGGCTCAGTGGCAGTACGGTCATTGTCGTTTTAATTGACCTCCACTTGGAATACGTGACCAAATAAAACCCTCAGAAGTAATCTTGGGTTTGACTGGGGAAAAGAACCCCCTCCTATCTTTACATGAAGGAAAACGCCAGAGGAAATAAGCGACCCACCGAGTGATGCTCTTAATTCATCCTCCCTGTTAGGGCAAGGGGATGGCTAGGCAGTTTCACTTCCTTTTTGTCTGAGCCACCTGCACCAACACCCCGCTGTGGCTCCTTCTCCAGTGATGGAGGATGAGTGTTGGAATAGACCCTATTTCTCTTGAAGCTAGAAACCAGCATGAAGACATGCCCAGTGTAGCTAGTTTATGGCTTTAATGGTGTTCCATGAGTCTAGGATTCATGTAGTTTTCTCAACGTTATTTAAAAACACAGATTTGATGAGGAACTAAGCCAATTGACAATGGAACGTTACGGGAGGCCCAAGAGTGGGTGAGATGTACAAGCCCCTGAAGCTGTGGTGAGCCAAAGCATTAAGGTTGCTAAAACTAATTTATTTCAGCACTGGAAGCATTTTTACTGCTGTGAAGAGGTGGCAGAGAGATTTGCTTACCAGAGGTGGTAAGCAAACAGCCTGATCCTCTTCTAGCAGTGTGAAGGAGGAGTAACTCCAAGTAGGTCAGTGGAATAACACCTGTATAATAAAAGTAGTGAAGCTTGCACTAGCTAAATGGTGCCAAGGTGTTACAGCTGGGATTCCCCCGAGTGGTATGTGGCAACTCATGGGAGTGAAATATTCATGAGGGCTTATACCATAGGTCTGTTCTTCTCATAAAAACTGAATGGCAGAACCTGCAAGAAATTACAGATCCATACAGAGTCAGAAGGGCTCTTTAGATACTCTTTGATCTTACGTTCTTAGTCGGTATTTGATATTCCAGATGATGCTGGCTACAGAGCATTGATGTGTATTTTAAGATGACTCTGGGATGATACACGCCGAGTTTCTGTTCCTAATGGGAAGATTGCATCATAGACTTTCCCTCCCGCTTGCAATTATGGGAACCGCTTCCTTTCCCCTGCATGATCACGTGGTAGCTCTGTAGCCATTGCAGCAATCGCTTACGTGAAAAACAACGCTACTTTTAGCTTTTTCTCAGGCAGTTTGGTGGTGGGCGGCAGGAGGTAGCCAACAGCCCAAGGGCAGCCGTGCCTGCAGTCCGCAGCTGGCAAACTGCTGCTGCCCTGTCTCAGAACCTGCTTCATGGACCTTCCTGTTGGATTGCTTTGAAGAACTGACAACTGAGGTGAAAGTTATGCTGTCTGTAACCTCTTGAGGGCACAGTTATGTAGATGGATGCAGTCTTCACTGATAACAGTAAGTGTAGTGTTTCCAGCTGGTTTCCTTTGAACGTTTGGAAGACCGAGGCAGGTATAGTGTAGCTAGAACAGATTGCAAGGATGTATCTTTGACCATAACTACAGAGAGCATGACAGCAGGAAGTGAAGTTTAACAAATCTATGACAAATTGGAGTCTGTAATTATTGATCTTCTTTTCATTGTGCCGTGGCGAGTCAATGCCACTTAAATGGGGAGACTAGAAATTTGCAGGCAGGTAGCTGAGATATGAAATACTAATTTGGTGAATAGTTTCACTCTCTGAATGCAGAGCAATGATTTTAAGAACATAGCAATAATTTTAAGAACATAATGAACTTAAAGGTTAGCCAGTTTTATGAGAGGCAGTGGATCAAAAGACACAAGTATTGCAAGGATGGTCAATTTAAAGAGCGTTATGCTGGCAAGGTGAAGCTTTTCATTAAAACGGTCAGCACGCAGGAGTTATAGATGAAATCTGCACTAGCTCAGAACTCCCTTTGGCTGTATAGGACAGTTAAGCCAAGCGCAGAGGGGTATGAATCCAAGGGAACAGAGCATGAAGCAACCTGCTGGCTTAGACACCTCTCTGGACCTGACACTTTGGCCCTGATTCTGAGTGCCACGTGAGAAGTGAGCCTTCCCCATGGTCATGAGGTGGCCATGTGGTTTGGACTGTCGTCTTTGGTACTGGTTGCTCATTGACTGTGCTCAAGTTTTGCTACTCCCTCCAGAAAATGAACAAAGTTTTCAGCAGCGCCTCCTCTTCCTCTCCTCATTTCTCTATCTTGTTTTCCCTTGTGTCTCATGGGAGTGCTGAAACTCCTGAAACTATGGTCCTTGAATTGCTGGTTAGAAAATCTGGAGAGCTCTTGAAGTAGGGCGTGATGAAAGGAGCATCTGGTTATTTGACAAAAAGGGGACACAGATCCTAACCACTTCTGATTTAATCTCAGAAAAAAAATGTGACCTTCTGGGAAAAGCTCCCAGGACCACGTGAAATCACTGCAGAATCCTTCTCCAAGTGTCCTACGCCAATAGTGGCCATAATAGTTTCCCACACCCATAGGGTGTTCAGGACAAGTGTTTGCTGGTTGCAGAGGGCAGAAGAATAAGGAGTGCTCCTTCAAGATGAGGAGAACACTGAGTGTGGGGTGGTGGCCCTGTGTTGTCTATGGTGAATCTGAGAGAGGGCCTTTGAGAATTTGGGCTGGAGATTTTAGAGAGACAGATCCAAAGGAGATCTGCAAGTTGTTAGCACATTAATAGCTGAATCTGTGGGTGAGACAATCGCCTAAAATGTGGAGGGC